GTGCTATAACTGCATATGTTCGTCGTATGTAAAATACGTGGTATTTTATGGAAGACCACTATAGTGGCCCGTAGTATTATCTCAGTGGCAATCTTATGGAGGAGGGCCACTATAGTGGTTTGTAGTAGCGAAAGGGTTAAATCGATTTATTTTTATTTTGCGACGGCAGTTCTACGAAATGTTTCTTACGACGCAATGATATGTGAATGTGTGTGTGTGTGTCTATTTGTAAAATATAATCATCATAATAACATATTAAAGATGCAATGTTGTTTTTTTTTTCTTTTTATTTATCGTACGATCTTGCGAATAGAAATATTACACATAAAACACTAACGAGAATGATGATAGTGTGAAATTTATGATTGACATTATCGATTTGCGCTTTTATAATCAAATATCAAGCAGAAGAATATTATAAAATGTTATTATTATGATAACGACGCGAACAAGTGATAAACTTTTGCAACTTTATATGCATCTTTCATTAGATTCTCTCATTAGAACCATTGTGAAAATGTCTGAAGAATAAGTTCTTCTTCTTCTTCTTCTTTATTTCTTTCTTTCATTCAAAATTCATTTTTTTTTGTTTTATTTTTTTCTTACTATCCTCTCTATTTCATTTTATTTTCATCTTTTTCATATTCTTCCTTCTTCTGCTTCTTTCATCGTGTGTTTTTTTCTTTCTTTCTTTTTTTTTTTTTAATCACTTTCCCCAACGAATTGATGTAAGACAAACGTTAAATATATGTTTGCAATAATATAAATAATTTCTAAATATGTATACAACACGAAATAGGTTGAAAGAAAATATTTATATTCGTCAATAAATGTATTATATTTAAATTAAAAATTAATATCCTCGTTTGTCTGTAAGTTCAATTAAAATGATGTTGTTTAACATTTCTTTTTTTTTTTGTATAATAATAATAATAAAAGAAATAAGTAATAGTCTCTTATATAAGTTTTTTTTTCGTGCAACCAGCCACAATCCCCCATTTAAGACTTTTTCAAAAATATAAATATTTGTGAAATCAACAAATAATTTGCAAGTTAATGGGTTAATTAACACTAGAAAACTGTTGTGTTAAAGCTAGTCATTTTAATTGGGTTTTACAAAGGTTTACTTTGTAATTAATTATTACAAATAATTCTAGTGTTAAAAATAATCGTGTGTGAACCAATCAACGAAGAAAGGATATTAATTAATAAATCATAAAAATAAAATATATATATATATATATATAACAAATGATTTCTCTCGTATCGTCCAGCCCCATGATCGATAAAGTATAATATATTTTTATATGGCTTTTATGTTTAATGCCATTATTTGTAATAACAGTAAAAAGAGTCACGTTTGGTAATCTCAAAGCTTTTGGTTTAGTTTCATATTTTTCTATTTATTTGTTTTCTCTTTATTTTTCTTTTATATATAAAGCTGTTTGTGATAATCAAAGTAATATACATACATACATGCATACATACATACATACATATTTTGTATTCGTATGTATATAGAGAGTAACAGTATTGAATATGAGACATGTGCCTTATTAAGACCCAATAGTTTTTCCAAAAAAAAAAAATCATTGCAATAATTGCACAAATAATTAAAAATATTTCAATAAATAACAGGAATCCTCCACATGTGAGATTCCAATTCAATTGGACAATGATTATTTCATTAAGATAACATTAAATTTCATTGCATTTTTAGACAACAGCAAGTTTTTATAATCATTTGTAAAAAAAAAAAAAAAAGAGATGTTTCTTCATCAGCTTAGAATTAATTTTCTGAATGTTCCTCGCCTAATTTTATTAGTTGAAAAAATGAAAAAAAAAAAAAAAATACTTGCCATATATTTACATTGTAAGCAGAGGGTCTCTTATATAAGGTGCTGTTTTTGAAATTTCATTAATTTCACATTAATTTGAAATTATTCTCATATTTTATTTGTCTTCTTGTAATAAATTATGATTATTATTTCAATGAATTAATTTTTCTTAAATAATTATATTAATGAATTATTATTCTTATTAAGTAAGTTAAAAGTAATTATTCTCTTCTCTTCATTTGGTTTTATCAATAATAATAATAATAATAATATTAGTAATAATAATAATAATAATAATAATAATAGTAATAATAATAATAATAATAATAATAATAGTAATAATAATAATAATAATAATAATAATAATAATAATAATAATAATATTAATAATAATAAGATTAATAATAATAATAGTAACAGTAAATGATGATGATAATAATAATAATAAATATTATTTAAGTATTATCTAAAAATCGTTTTATTTATTATTTAAACCAATACCAAATTGACAGTTATCTGCAGTCAACAGTAAAATATATATATGTATATATATATATATAATATAAATTTAGTTAAAGACCGTTTTACAGTATAAATAAGTATACATAAACTGTCAGTTGATGATTTACTATCAATCAAAACATAAATTAGCGTCTTCTCATATTCGATTGCCGTTACTCTAACACGTGTGTATATGTATATCACTTTAAAACAAAAAAAAAACCAAAAAAAAAAAAAGGAAAAAAAAATCGTCATCAGACAGAACAACAACGACAGAAGAGGAGACACACGTTTTCAAACATACGTCAAAATCAAAGTGTGCTATACACTCTACCACCTTCTAATAGAATAAACAACTTCAATTACGTGTTTTTTTTTTCTTTTTTTTTTTTCCTTATACAACGATATATACATATACCTATACATATCATTAGTTATATTTTACTGAACACAATAAGATTAAAATAAAAAATAAAAACAAAAAAAAAAGAAAGAAAGAAAAAGAAATACAATTAGTCTACAAAGTTTCTTCATTTACAAGAATTTTTTTTTTTTTTTTCACGAACCCTGGCTGGGAGGAATCGTTTTCAAAAGTTTCTCTTTTCTTTTTTACTTTCCTTTATCATTCTCACCAAAAATTTAATAATAATAACAATAATAATAATAATAATAATAATAATAATAATAATAAATGTAGCAATAATAATAACGTTCACGCGCGTGTACTTTGTTTTTCTTTTTTTTCTAAATTCAAAATGCAAGATTTATAATTTTCAATCTCGTCGACGACACGTATGCAATAATATTATAAACGTCTTTTCTGTTTTCTTCTTTCATCTATATCTCAAATGTTTTATTATATTTTGTTCGTCCCTGTTTTCTATCTTCGCAACCAACCAACAGTTCTACCCATTTCACCTCACACTCACTCCCTATTATCTTCATCGACACCACCCTTTTCTTCTTCTTCTTCTTCTTCTTCTTCTTCTTCTTCTTATCTCGCAAAGCTGTTACTGGGAAATCTTTTTTAAAAAGATATACAGTAATCGAGTGACGACGCAAGCTATATTTAAGCGCGTGTGTGTGTTTCGTTTGTGTGTTCATTGTAAAATTGTTACGATATAATAATAATATTATAGATTCTACACAATTTTCTTTCTCTCCCTTCATTTTATTATTATTATTATTATTATTACTATTATCATTATTATTATTATTATTTGTTATAGGATATTGTTCTATTTGTTTTTATTATTTTGTCTCCTATTTAAATTGTCAACTAAATTTTGGTTACTTTGTAATAATAATAATAATGTGTTATGTTTGTTGATTTTAAGATTTTGTCAGAAAACAAATTTCATGATAATTATTTCCCTTGATTCACCGTATTATTCTATATACATATACGTGTTGTATAAGTGTGGTGTGTGTGTGTGTCTCTGTGTGTGTGTGTGTATGCACGCGCGCGCGTGTGTTAGATTTAATGTTCAGCTTGGCAGCAAAGTTGAATCAATTTATTTATTTATTTTATTTTTCTTTTTTTTTCTTTTATTTATTCGCTCGTGCATACGCACGCGCGCACATTCATTCTCATTTTCATTTATTCACTCATTCATTCATTCATTCATTCACTCTTTCTTTCATTCATTCATTTTATTGTTCACTTTTTTTTTCTTTCATTTTCTTCGTCACACACGACACAGAAGAAGAACTCATTGAAATAATTATACTATAGCGTAAAAACTTGATTCGTCCATTAACACCACGTTTTGCTATTTATTTGTTTGTTAGAATAGATTAATAGAATTTTTGTTATAAAACCGGGGGGGGGGGAGTCGGGTCGACACATCCTCCTCAGAACGAAGATCTGTGGTTCTCGTCAAAACGCAAATTAAGAAATTTTATAATATTATATATTTTTTTCATATTTAAAAGTTTATTTTTTATTATTATTATCTTCTTTTATTTTTTGAATCTTTTTGCAAAAATTTTCATTTAATTTTTGTGCAATTGAATTTTTCCATTTATTTATTTATTTATTATTAATTATTTTCTCGCTTTGTGTATGATAAGTTTGACTCGTAAATATTTTGTCTGTCTATGCTATTTGTAGTTTGTTTGTTTTGTTTGTTAATATAATAATTAATAATAATAAACATAATCATAATCATAATAGTAATAATAATAATAATAATAATAATAATAATAATAATTATAATAATAATAGTAATAGTAATCGTAATAAAAATAAAAAATAAAATAATAATAATGAATATATATCGAAATATAAAGAAGCAAATTAGAATTTGCTGATCAGATTATCATTTTGCTAATATATTTCTCTCTCTCTCTCTCTCTCTCTCTTGCTCTCTTGCGCGCGGCGTTCACTCACTCTCCCTCACCTTCACCCTCACCCTCTCCCCTAGCACTCTCCACTTTCACTTTCACTCTTACTCTCATTCTCACTCTCACTCTCTCGCACTTTCACACGCTCTCTTTCTCTCTTATATAGAATTATTTCTTCTCATTCTTTTAAAACGTTTACCTTTACTTTAGCGTTTAGGTTTGTTTTTTTTTTTTTTAATTTTTTAATTTTTATTTCTGTTATTAAGGGTTGTTTCTGAACCATTTCGTATTTTTTATTCATTATCTCTCTGTGTATGTTTTCTTTTCTTTTTTTTTTTTTTTTAATCTAAGCCATGTTCGATTGGCTGGGATCGGTAGTTTGTGTGGTGGAGGGTGTATTGGTGTTGACGCTATTATCACTAGAGTTACCGCTAGCCCCCGCTGCGGCTGCATTCGTCGCTTCCGATTGGCCTCCGCCGCCGGGATTGTCAGGAGACTGCATGCTGTATTTCGGTTTTAAGATTGGATTTAAAATAGGCTGAATTCTAAGCTCGTGCTCGGTGAAATTGAATAATGGTGGTAATTCACGACCGTTTGGCAATCGTGTCCCTTCTTCTCGCAATTCGTTGAAAAACGAATGTGCGCATGCCTGGAGAGGAGTCATTCTAAGAGATGGTGTATATTCTAAAAGCCGTGCTACCAGTTCCATCGCTTCCGGTGGTGTACGCGCCCTGAAAACCTGAAAACGATAAATAATATTACAATTACTATTATAACACTCCTCTTTTAAACATCCCTCAATCCCCAATCCCCCAATTGTCACATATTATATTATATTTAGATTTTTATTTATAATCGATGATGACAATTTTGATGACTCCGTCTTCTTCTCGTTGAGCTTAGTTGTACTACGATTAAAATATCTCGAAACGATATTTAATCCATTCACACACCTAGAATATGTGTTAATATCCATCTTGTATATGTTCTCGAAGATCATAAAATATCACCAAAACGTTAGAGTAAGTGATATTTTTATTTTGTTGTTGTTGTATTATTTATCTCCTATCTACCTACCTACCTACCTATTCTCTATCTTCATTTGTTTTTGTTTAAATTAAAAAGGAGATATATAGTTTAGTAATGTTAATCGATAATAAAAAAAGGTAAAGGATAAACAAAGTATTGAAAACGGTATGTACATAAATGTAAAATAAAAAAAAAATCAAATGGTCCATCTTGTCAATTGTTATTTCAATAAGAGTATATATAGAAAGAAAAAAGAATTCAATTAATTAGTATGCAAATCAATTAATTAGTAAATCTTCTTCGTAAATGCTAGTCCTGCATTCGTGATGATTTTTAAATGAAATTCAAATTTGCATCAACAACTTATTCCTATGTTGTGTGTGTATATCGAATAAAAAAAAGTTCCTTTTTATTTATAATAATTTTTTAATAAAGCATTTAATAATGTTTCATGTATTGTTTAAATACCATGTTTGTTTTATTTTATTTATTTATGAAATATGTTGATAAAATTGCGAGGAAAAACACATGGGGCATCTTTTACATAAATATATATAAATATATAACATAGAAATGGGGGGGTAGAAAAATCATAGTCATTTAATTGGTTAGTATAATGATTTGATCAGTGAAGGAATAATACTTGTGCAGCAGAGTATCTAATAATGCGTTTGAGGACTAGGAGACCACTTACTCTAATTTTTTGGTGCTCCGTGGAACACTTTGGTCCACTCATTCGTTGAAGCATATACTGTAACCACGAGTACAGGTATTGATGAATGATTTAATTATGAGAAAGGATTAACTAAATTATTCCTATTTTACAGATATATGATTAATAACATTCTACATTTAAACACTTTTTATATAATAAAATAATACTCGACATATTATAATACATTTGAATTGATTAGTTTAAACTATTCATAAAAAAAGGTGTTTAATTACATGTTACCTATCAATTCTGAAAATTGGGAATAGTTGTTGTTCCAAAGAACTCTGCGAATCAACTCTCAAATATTGTTTAAAATAATCGTATTATTTATAGAATTTTTGTGTTGATTAATTTCAACGTGCTTTTTTTTTTTTTTTTTTAATACAAGGACAATACGGGATGGATAATCAGAAAAGGTGTGATTTAAATTTGGACCTTTAAAAATAAATATATGTGTGTTGAACGCGACATATGTGTAACATATCAATATAAAATGAATACGATAATTAGAAAAATTACCTTTTGCCATGGATGCGACTTTATTTGTGGAAATTTAAATTCGGTATAGTTAGGGTTCATCTCACGTATTTGATCACGCGTCGGTGTACCAAGTACTTTGATAATTTCAACAAGTTGATCTACACCGCTGTCACCAGGGAATATCGGTTGACCAAGCAAAAGTTCTGCCAGAACACAACCTGCGCTCCACACGTCTGTCAAAGAATAAATTGTACATTAATCCATTGACACTTAGTCATTGCTAAAAACAAACAAAATTTTATGATAAATAGAACTAACCGATCTTTGTAGTGTAGTCAATGGCACCAAAGATGAGTTCAGGCGCACGATAATAGCGACTGCATATATAAGACACGTTAGGTTCCCCTTTGACAAGATGCTTGGCTGAACCAAAATCACAGAGCTTGAGAACACCAGTTTCAGGATCCAATAGTAAATTCTGCGGCTTAATATCCCTGTGACAAATGCCCAGGGAATGGATGTATGCCAAAGAACGGAACAGTTGATACATGTATAGCTGGAAAATATAGAAATAATATACAGATAAAATTAAAGTTACTCAATATAATGAGCGAGCCAATCGAAAGCGTGCAACAAAAAAGAGAAATATCGTGATCAGTATCAATTGTATATAGATTAATGCATGGCTCCTTTTACCTTGATAAAACTGATTGGTATCGTCTGCTTGCTTTTGCTATAATGTCGGGCGACTTTGTACACGGTTTCGGGTATATATTCCAGGACTAGATTCAGATAAACCTCGTCCTTCTAAAAGAAATTATTATCTTTTTAATTATTACAATCTCTTGACATGTTATTTTTTATTCATCATTCTTTTTTTCTTTTATCTTTGATGATAATGTGTGGGGGTGGTCTTAATATGAGTTTTATTTTTTGAAAGAAATCTTTTATGTCATATTTGTCTAATTTTGTCTTTTCTTTTCTTTTCTTTTTTTTTTTGAGGGAGGGAGGGTGAAAAGAAAAAAAGAATTATAAAAAAAAAAAGAAAAAAATTAATGATGAATGAAGTATATGATGTTTTATTCGTAACATTTATTGCATTATCATCATAATGTTACAAATATATATATTTATTGTAGAGATATATATATGTATTGTTATATCCCCGAATTGTTGGATTCAGTGTTCGATTTGTTAGTTACGTACACACTTAATTATGGTTACAAATGCACGCAATCTCGATGTGATCATCCTCTAGGACTAGCGAAGCGGCGTTTTAGCTTACTAGATTTAAAATGTTCAATTATAATAAACGTGTAATATATAAAGTGATCTTCTAAAATCATAGTTAAAATAAAAATTAAAAAAAATAAATAAAAAAAAACAATGAATTAAATCGTACGCTTTTTTCTTTTTTTTTTTTTTGATAACGACATTCTTCTTACGGTTAATCTTTTGGTTATTTTTTGTTTATCTTATTGGTTGTTGTGGTATTTTTTTGTCTGTTCTTCTACGGTAAAAGCAAATGATAGCCTAAATAAATATGTAAATAAAACTCGGCGAAAAGGATAAAAATTTGTAAGCTACTGGGTATGCTCCAACTTACGTCCACATGAAAAACTGGATTAGTTGCGTTTAAGATGTTCTACAAAATAACATAACAACGTAGCATGCATTAACACTAAAAAGACATTTACAATTGATATAAATAAAAACACGATTTGTTCAATTTATTTTTTTTTTTTTTTATATATATATATTTTCTTGTTTCTTTTTGTTCTTCTTCTTTTTCAAAAAAAAANAAAAAAAAAAAAAAAAATTCATTTCTAATTTTTTAATCTCAATATATATTGTTTATAACTTAATATGTATTCAAAGGAACATTTTTTTAAATCAGTTAGCTGTGACTGACGAGTATTATTTTATTCTTCACGCGGAAAAGTTAATTTACATTTAAACTTTAAATTGTCACAATTAACTGGTTAAAAAAGAGATCATTTGTGTTTAACTCTTTGGGGCACGGTGGGACCATTTTTAGTCCCACCTTGAAATATTATTTGCAAATAGCTATACATGCTTATAAGTTTATATTTAGTCTTATTTAGACAAAACAATTGGTTATTAACTCGTTTGTTTTATGCAATACCTTTATTAATAAATATACCAATTTTGTTGTTTAATTTAATACGTAATCAAATTTTTCTATAAAACATAGGGCTAGCTATTTTATTATCTGAAATTCTATGCTGCAAAGAGTTAAACGTATTTTAAATTTCACTAATACATTATCGTACGAGTATATAAGGCCTAATTAATTTAACCGGATTATATATTTATTTAACTTTAAATTATTTTCTATGTAAAGAGAGAGAGAGAGAGAGAGAGAGAAAAAAAAAGTAAAGAAAGATATAAAAGAAACGAGGAAAGAAAGAGAAAGAAAAATAAATATAGATCTTTTTGGTCTTAACTTATTCTTCAAATTGTTCAATCGATTCTTATATAAACATATGTATAAATATTCATATATATATATACGTATAAACAAAAAAAAAATATATATATATATATATGTATATAGATACATATACATATGTATAATAAAATTAATAGTTACCTTATCACCACAAGAGTAGAAGAAATATTTGAGTTTGACGATGTTGCAGTGCTCTAAGCGCCGCATTATTTGTAATTCTCTGTTCTGAAAAATAAAACAACACAAAAATCAATTAAAATCAAAAAATAACATTTATTGTTTTTGTACAAATGATTCGCGTAACATCCATATTTGGGATCTCTGGCAGGGGGTGGTGGCGTGGCATAGCAATTCGACCTATCTACTGTAATTTTGAATTTAGCTACCAGATAGCGTATTCAAGTGCTAGAGGTCCCAATACAAAAAAAGAAAAAAAAAAGAAAGTTAGGGTACCCCTCTGATAAAATTTTGGGAACCACTGGGACCCTGGTTATAATATTATAAATAGATGTATAATAATGCATAAGTTGAAAGTAACATGCCGTTAACGTTGAAACTCTTTAAAATTGATATTCAAGGTACATATCGCGTGACTAATCTCTGGACGTCAAACATTTTCGTCTTCTTCTTGTTCTTCTTATTCTTCTTATTCTTATTCTTATTCGTTTAGACGTCTTGACGTAAGAGAATAAACGAATAGAGGAGGGAGACCAAGAAGAAAGAATAAGAGTAGAATAATAACCTCGTAACTTCTTTATATGATAAAAGTTAGAAAGTTTCGATGTGTATGATGAAGAAATGCATCATTCTCTTTAAAACATATCAATCGGATGTTTGTATATCACAATGCGAGAGTTGACCTATACATACGTATATATAGGATGCACATGATCTTGACGTCACGTAAAATTGCGCAAGTTAACATCAGTACGTTTGTAACTTAAATTTTATCATTCTATATAAAAGGGGAATAATAATAATTATTATTATTAATAATAATATAGAAGTGAAAGACTAGATTGTAACGAAACAAAACGGAAATAAGTTTTCAAAATAACTCTTATCGTAAAAAAAAAAGAAATTGTAAACGTAAGAAGAAGAATCGTCGTTTATTTGTAAAAATTTCCAAAAGGAAAAAGATAATAATAATAATAATAATAATGCGTGTTGTTGATCGCTCAAACATACAGTGAATTAAAAATAAAAATTATAATTGACGAGCTTACGATTTCTTATCAATGATAAGCCACGAATATATATTCGTTTAAGCAAATAAGTAATTTTTGTCAATTAATTTATATTTAAAATGAATAAAATTTGCGTTGAAAAATGATTTGATAAAGAAAGAAAGAAAGAAAGAAAGAAAGGAAGATATAAATAAACTCACCTTAAATCGTTTATCTTGTAGAACCTTTTTAATGGCAACCATTTCTCCGGTGTCGAATAATTTCGCTTGATAGACAACCCCAAAACTGCCATTGCCAATGACCTTGGTATCGGTATAGGCTACTTCTCGGGGTAGATCTGGTCCAGAGCCAGGAGTTGCCACTACTGTCGTCACCTTGCTTCCATCTTTGCCTGCATTGTACATCGCACCACCCATAGAAAAAAAATTCAAAACCAAAACGCTACAGTACAACGAAAAAAACATGAAGAGAAAAAGGAGTTTTTATTTTATTTTTTTTTTTTCCTTAAAAAATTTCAATAATTATTGATGTATAATATTATAAATGAATCTTGTTACGTATAACGAGGCTTGTTTTTTTTTTTTTTTAATCTAAATTTACTTTATCGAGATATAGAAAAAAGAAAAAAACCCACACACAAAGTGAAGACTGAGATGATATCACGTGGGATTATCTTCTTATGCGCACATGTGAAATCAATTAAAATATCTTTCGAAAAACAAAGCGACCTTCTTATCGACCTCTTCTTCAATTCACTACCACTACCCACCATCACGTATCTTTTTCTCTCTCCCTCCCTCTAATATTTTTACACCTTCTCTTATCTTTCTATCTTTCTTTACGACCCTAATTATCTCTGTCTTCTTCAGATGTATTATTTAATGCATAATATTCTAATTAAATAAATAAACTTATTTCTTTTCATCGGTTCATCGATAAATCCTACCAGATTATTTTGTTCGTTCATTTTCTAAAAATAAATATATGTATATATGTATAATAACCTGTGTGTGTAGACATCAGACAAGAAGCCCGATCAAAGATATCTTTTACAGGTTAGAATGTTAACATGGTATTCTTCCAAAAAAGAAAAGAAAAAGAAAAAGAAAAATAAAAAGAAAAAATCTAGGAATTACGTTGTCTTTACAGTCAGTATGAAAGATATTTTTCAAAAAAGATTATTATTTTCTTATCAATATTTATTAAGAAGATGTCTTACGATACACGCGTCGTATACCTAACTGTAATTCTTTCGCACACACATATGAAAATATATATATAGATAGATAGATATGTTTAGATTTGAACAGAATAAATTTAGTTGAAATGCATCCACACATAATTAATCATAAATTATTTAGATACCTCCATTTTCGTGAAAAGTTGTAACCGAACGTCGTAAATTACGTCGTACTTCAGACTCTTTCATCCTTCTAAATCAAACAACAAGTTAAATTTTGACTAAAACCGTGATATAAAGTACGACGACAAACAAACAAACAGTTGTAGTATATATTATTTCTAGTAAATATTTATTATCTCTATACGAAATATAAATTGCGACAAACTTCGTGACGAACTATCCGATTGATCGATCGATCGATCGATAGATAGATAAATAGAAGAAATAAAACAAACAATCGAGTCTTACTAGAATTAAATGGATTTATTTTCATAAGAGAAAAGAAACTATGTTGTCTATGGGCCAATAGAAATTTGTAGAAGAAATCTAACTAACAAAGCTTATTGGTTAAGATGAGGGCCAATAAAATGGGCCAATAAAGCAGCATATTTGGTTAAAAACATTTTTATTTTGACAACTAACACGATTAATACATTCCTTTCTTAGTTTATGAACCAGAACTAACTCTAATTACGAAATTATACAGTTTAGATAAGAAAATAATGTATACAGTTAACACGTTCGTCGCCATGGCACTGTATACTGAAGACAGGCATGGTTCTCTCCGGGGGCCGCCCCGTCACCGTATACGGTGACACTTACTTTTCTCTTATTTTATTATTTTCTTTACGTTACGTAGGCGCGCCGATAGTCGAATTTTGAGCCTGACGAAAAACTCAAGCGAAACGGGCTCTGGGCGACGACGAACGTGTTAAATTCATAGAGTTAAAAAGATGATATCTCCGAAATACCCAGGTATAGAATAAAGATAAGATATTAAAAAGATATTAATATACACAACACACACACGTACGTACGCGTATATAAAACGATAGTGTTAGGTTAAATTAAGCGTGTATAATAAATAACAAAGTAAAACAAGCGGTTCATCTTCATCTAATCGCTTTTTATCCCTTTTATATCGTGTTATATTCGCATCGTGTAATTTTGCCCTTTTTCTCAATCCCCTTCCTCCTTCTCCTCCCTGCCATAGTCTGCCCACCTAAGAACTAAGGAATCTAAGCCAACCTATTGGAAAATTTCACGCCGACATCATCACCAAGCCTACACCACCACCACCACTACTACTATCACCACCATCAGCACACGCAAACAGTAACATATTCTGATATTAACATGCATCACTTTACTTCCCTGACATTGAGAGAAAAAATAAGAAAAAATTAACTAACATATACGCAATTATTACTTTAGCTACGTCATTGAGAACACGATTACGTTTTAAATCTCGTTCGATCTCGATTTTATATTCATTGGGAAAAATCTTAACACGTATCGGTTGAGTTTCTCGTCAGGCCCAAAATTCGACTGTCGGCGCGTCGTAACGTATAGAAGCGATAAGTAGAAATATCAACAACAATGCAACCCGAGTATTATGGTTGTATTATTATTATTATATTTTATTTATCGAAAATAATTTTCTTTCGAAATGGGAAATGTGATAAGTTTTTCCAATTAAAAATACTATAACTTCAACAAGAAGAGCGTCACCATATACGGTGACGGGGCCCCCGGAGAGAAGCATGCCCGTCTCCCCCCGAACGTGTTAAAGAATTATTATTGTATATGTATACAGATCTGACAATAAATAATTTGACAATGTTCAATATAAAATTGTAAATGATAATAGATTCCGATATTAATCATTGGTCGATCAATCAAACCAAAAAAATAGAACATTTCGAAGTAACGTGTGTTGTAGGATCAATTGTCTATTAAATATCAATCCGAATGATGTTTTTTTTTTTCTTTTTTTTTAATAATTATTTCGAATAATGCATTATTCGACACTTACGTTTTTTGCTTCCCAATTGACGTAAGAATTTGCAAAACTTTTTGTAAGCTCCATTGGTCTCTTTTTTTCCGTTCAATTCAACGCCATTTTTCGTCCTTTCGTGTCTTTGTCCAGAGAGACAAAGTTTCGGATACCTCCACTGTTGGCAAGGTTCCGACCAATCAAAAGTACTAGCTGGAGCCATTTTTCCTTATTTATTTTTGTTTCTTTCGATAAAACGTCAATAATTTAACTGCAGTTCTCTATCGTCAAAGTAAACTATTGTCTTATCAAGTAAAAAAACATTTTTTTTTTTAAATCACCATACGATGATTTATTTCATTAATTTCATTACTTTTTCTTTTCGTATTATCCATCGAAAAAAAAAGAAGAATAACACGTTCACTGATTTTATTTCTCTCTTAAAATTAAATTAGAAAACATTTCTACAATGTTTTTCAATGTTCTGTATAAAATTTCAAGTTGTATTTTGTATTTCTTCTTTCCTATCACTTGCCTACTCTTTTTATTTCAAGATTTACTGGTTTCTCAAATATTCACAATTGTTTCTTTTTTTTTGGAAAATAAAATTTGCAAGTTTAAGTATCCACACTCAACAAAAGAATCAAATATCCTATGTCCTCAAATCACCATAACAATTTCTATATTGCATATAGAAAAATAAAAAAACTCTCTCACATCCACGTCACACACCAGGTGAGAAATACAAAGAAAAATAAATGTAAGAAAGACACTGAACACTAACACACTGATGAAAATATTCACAGTTTTGAATACATATAAAGAAATAAATAATAAATATAAATGTATATATATAAATAAAAAATAAAAGTAATTGGACGTGTTATCTTTTGATGCACTTCTTGCAAGGGTATGCGCAAGCAAGAACGAAAATGCACCACCACAACGTCGTAACCAATTCGTGTCGTCTCGACACGCGACTAAACGAATCGAACAAGTTCGCGGATCAACGTGGCTGTTGATTGGTGCCACAATAGTGGGAGGAGTACCACTTAGAGTAGGGATAACGGAAGAGGATTGGATGATAGTGTGTGTTGGTAGTTGACTGTCACGGTTCAATTCGAAAGAGCATCGATCCAAACTGATTAAATCATTTTTTTTTTTGTATTTTTCATGTGAAAACTTTGTTAGAATAGGTGTGATTTGAAAAAATGTAACGGAACGGTAGGCGGCTATGTAACGGAGCGGTAGGCGGCAATGAAACGGCCAAGATACTAAATAAGAAGAGAATACAATTATCCTACAGCAGATACTTTGTATTCGTCTCATTCATTCTTTCATTTGTTCTTTTTCATATAAATTTGAGATTTTTATTTTATATTGACACGTTTATAACGAAGAAATATAAATAATATGTAATATATTATTATCTTTTATCGTGAAAGATTAGTCACGATTCCTTTGAGATACTTTTTGGCAAATGTTCAGGAATACTTGAAAATACGGAGATGAGAATTTTGAAATTGTTGTTTCAGTTGAAAAAAGTATGACCGTGATAATTGGAAAAATGGATTATTTGTTCATACGATTTTGAGTAAATGTAAAAACATTGTCAAATTATTTCTTGGATAATTGTACCTTGTAGGTTGTATGATGTACAATCATATTCGATGAATAAATGAAGTATCACAATAATTGATAATCTAAATGAAAAGTTAACGCATAATACAGTTGAAAGAAAGATGATGATGTTCAACAAGAGTAGAAATTAATCAAATCAACAATAGTAGTAGTAATAGTAGTAATGTAATACGATAAAGATCGAGAAACTCGAAGAAACGAGCGTTCCACTTTCCGATCTACGTTTCATCGTTGACGCCCGAGAAAGAGAGATAGAGAGAGAGAGAGAGAGAGAGAGAGAACCCATTATGATGATTATTATTGCTATTATTAGTTTAATCGTCATCTTTTCTCGTTACTTACTATTTACCGCGTTTAATCCCATTTAAAGATAATGACAGAAACAAGTGGGTAGAAGAAAATATAACCCAGCAGTCAAGACAAATAGAGATTATGCCAATCAGAAATACATGCAGGTATTACAAATAAAAATACAGACAGACAAATGATACTCACAACAAACAATTAAAAAGAAATATCTTACAATTAAATATATTATTGGGTTGTTCAGAAAAAGTTGGTTTGTTAAAAAAAAATCTGAGAAGTTTTGCAA